AATAGCTTCTATCCGTTTTTGCAAGTATTTTAAAACGATCTCATTATTTTGTTTTATCTTGTAAATTCTCTTTTTTTTTACAAATGGCATGCAAGCCACTTCAACGTGTCATTTTTTTGCTTATGACGTCACGATTTCAATTTGGCCGCGGCGACTAGTCAGGAACCTTAACTTTATTATATATTAAATTTATCCTTTTCGAGAGTTTCAATTAATTGATATCTCAACTAATTCTTTAATCCCACAATTTTCTTATAATTTACAATCGGATATGGTTTATTATCGGTATTTAATAATAAATTTATAGCATCGATATAGAGATAACGAAGCTATTTTATCGCTAATTATATACTTATTACCTAATTATCACGTAATTCTTTAAGTGCGACAAACGTTTTAATTACTTATTTTCTTGTTCTTCCTTAATTTTTATAACTATAATCGATACATTATCTCAATACAAATATATAATATTATCTCAATACAAAATAGATAATATTTATCTCAATATAAAAGTATAACCAGAGTAACTAAATGTTTTTCTACATTTTGTGATACAAATTAAATGAATGCAACGAGCGTAGTTCTGTATTAATTTGCGTATTGTTTAGTACATATGTTAATATTATTACGGGATGTCATTCTTTTAGAAGAAAAATATAGCGACTTATTCTCTATCAATCACATATATACGGTAATCAATTATCATGTATCTGTATTCTCAAGATGCGCCGAGTATCACTTTGGAATTTTTATCAACTACACGCACTATGAAACCGCCATAAAAAGAATAAAATAATCAATATATGTATACTCAATGACAGAATAATATTCTCAAAGAAATTCGATTTTATTTGTATAATAAATATTTAATTTTGTATATCTTCGTTATGTATAACCATACAAAATTTTTATTTGCGTTAAAATTTTAATAAGTTTTCTACAATAAACTATTAACTAAGCTTTAAATCTTTAGCTGTAAGAAATTGACCAATCATAGTCGATTATTCTTCTCACATTCTCAACTATTATGATTACATGTTTCTATGTTATGATTACATGTTTCTATGTTAAAACGTCATCGTAAGACTAAAAAAAAGGATGCGTAACTGCAACCTATTGTGCAATACACGGTAAATTTGCACAATGTTACGGGAAATCTTTCTGGAATGCGTGCACGGTATCACATAAAAATATCTTCATAAAAATTAGCATGACTCGCTTTTTTCTTCGTTTTTATTATGTAAATATGCAATTCCAAAATTAAACTATTTTATATTTATATCAATTTGAATTATTTAACATTAACTTTTGAGAAATAGAAGAAGAATAAATTTGACATATTGTCGAGAGGCTCGATACATTAAAAGAAATAAATTAATTACATGCACGCTTCTAAGAAATGTGACTAATAAGTGCCAACTCTCGCAATGCGCACGATTATTGCAACATGTAAAATGTCCTTCACGATAAATTTTCAAGTACGCGTCGTGAATCATGCAATGACAAAGAAGTAAACAAATGACAGAAGTAAACAAAAACATGCAGATATCTTTGGAGACAACAATTGTGAATGAAACATAAATTCTGTTGATGTTGAAAATTATTGCTCTCCCTTAAAATTTTGACACTTAAATCCAAGTAATACTCCATATCTATTAATTATTACTTATACGTTAAACATGTATCTCTTACATAGTAAAAAAGTCCAAGTCTCGCCTCGCATATTATGATTAATGCGAGTCATGCTGATTTTTATGAAGATATTTTTATGTGATACCGTGCACGCATTGCAGACAGATTCCCCGTAACATTGTGCAAATTTACCGTGTGTTGCGCAATAGGGTACAACAGTTACGCATCCTTTTTTTTAGTCTTGTACGATAACGTTTTAACACAGAAACGTGTTGCTTATTCGTAAGTCGTAAGCAATTACTCACAGAAAACAAATGCAAAAGATAAAACGTCTGCCATTGTTATGTTGTCAGTGCACGATACATGTATACGATACACGTTTGCAAGTAAAATTTCAAATGAAATACCTATGCCTCGCGTTGCAAGCCATATTTCTCTCGAAAGATGAGAAGAAGACCAACTCTCAAAGTTCATTCCGGTAAACCAGCCTTTGATCCTACATAGGTCATGAAACTTGAGCTTTTTGCCTCAAGACTCTTGCGCCAAAAGTGAATCGCTTTGAGGATAATATAGATTGTATAAAATTTCCTAATAAAAAATCGTTATATGTTGTATATCTTTTGTCAAACTTATATTTTTAAAAAAACATTTAACCAAAAAGACAAAACCTATAAAGATACTTAATATTTAAAAATCTCTCGATTTGTTTATCTAATATACATATATTTATCATATTTTTAAAAAAGTAAACTTTTCAAAAAGATAATATATTATACAGAATATTTCGAAATTGGCGAATCAAAATACCACAATAAGAAAGTTTTAAAAAAAAAAGTTGTGAAAGTGCTATTTTTCAGCAACCATTTAATCGTAATCTTTTAACCGAGAACTTTCTTGTTGTGGTATTTTGATTTGCGAATTTTAGGACATTCATACCTTCATACCTATTACAATATAATAACGGAATCCAAAAATTATATTATAAAAGTGGAATCTAAAATATCTTTATTATCTAATCTTATCTGCATATTGCATATTCATCTTTCTACATCTTGCTAATAAACTAGATAATTAGATCAATTGAATTTTTTTTTTATAATAAAATTGAATGCAATTTAATACCAACATAGTGTAATACGTCTCTGTCAGAAGTAGGTCGTGATATCGGGTAAGTAGTCGATCTGTCGACAACACGAATTTACAACTGGCTGACTGCTGAGAAACTACTTATATTTCTTTTTCTTTATCTGATTCTGCACGACCGAATTGATCCTGACGTATCATAAATACCATTTCCTAAGACTGAGCTATAATCTTTTATGAAGAATAACAAATAACAACAATATGCATCGCGCGCGACTCATGAAAGTGATAAATACGCGGTGCATTTATGAAATAATATTGATAAAACATAAAATATTTATTTTAGATATAAATAAACCTATATCTACAAATCTACCAAAAACCTTTGAGACATCGTATTGATGTATGTCTCGTTGCAAGTTATAATGACCCAAATTTTTAAGCAATCACAAATCGTGACATTCATTCAATGTTTGGCAAATAAATAACGTTTGATAAATAAATAGCAAATAACGATTAATGTTTTATGTTGAAGGAAGATAGTTCCTGGTCGCATAAGTGTGTATATTGAAGTTTTCACAATAGGAAAAAATGTAAGACGTTATTTTTAACGTCTTATCTTTTTTTTCGCAACAAGCTTAACAATCAAAGAACCGTAGTCGATGAGTTCGCCAAGAGATGAGCGCTGATGTAATCATAGTCGTGTCAAAATGAGATCAAGGTTCATTTACACATTATTTATATTCCTTTCCTCTCTTTTCTCCATGAATCACGCGTTGATATCACAGTGGTTATCATCGGATGTTCTCTTCATATACCTAGTTGCTATAACAGAGTAGAGATATGATGGTATTAGTGATTATGAATTGCGTTGAACATCAATATTATACTTATATACACGATATAAATTTTCCATTAGGATTAGTCACGAATGCTTTATATGTGTATCATACATAATTTATTATACAATTCATCATACTTTCCGCTAAACTACAGATATTAATTATTTTTTTACACTATTTACTGTTATATATTTCATATTTATAATTTATAATTTTATTTATAATTCCATACTTTATACTAAACTGCAAATATTGACTATCTTTTACACTATTTAACTTTTAGCCTTTACTAACAGTAGTTAATTAATTTTATTATTTGCAATTTATTAATTACAGTTAATTAGCTTTCTTGGCATCGCGATGTGTCAAAATATGATACATTACATAATTTCTTAAAATTACCATTTAAAAACTTTGGTTTATCTTATATTATTGAAAATCTTATTGATCTTGACTTTTGACTCTCTTATAGTCAACTAATTCGATTCATATTTTATCTCGGTAAAGCTACGATATCTATTGCCCAAAACAGAATTTGAAAAAGTTAAATTATTTTTGAGAAATCTTGCAGATAATTGGACGGTCGAACCAATACTGAAATTGTAAAGAAATTTTTTAAATTTCTTTACGTCGATTCATACTCGCGACGGCAATGATAAAAATCGGTAAAAAATTTATTTATCTTTCTAACTTCGCAATATTTATTAAGTAATGCAGCGTAATTAACAATAATAAATATCGCGAAGTCAGAAAGATGAATTAAATTTTTACCGATTTCTATGTAAGCAATTTTTAAAAGAAAAATTCTTAGCATTGTAAATTTTCCACGATCTAAATATAAATATGCATAGGTGATATCAGAGCGAGTTAGTTGCATCGAACGCATAAGTTCCGTGATGTACACATAATGAAACACAACATTCATACTTCATTTTGTCGCATGAACTCGTTTCGGTTTTATCTTCGTTTACCATACATGTCTGTAACGATACGATTAGTCACAAAATTTATGATTTCCATCGTCGATACATTTTCATATATCGCACATATTTTATTCCTTTTTTGCCATAATATTTTTTTCCCTTAATATACTTATTATTATAGCTAAGTTTCAAGATTTTCTTTAATCTAATCCCAAAGTCGAATTAATAATCTTTATCTACTACAAAGAATGTGTATTGAAAAATATATGGGGCTCATAATTGAATTTATAATTATGTTAGGCACTTAATTAATGAAACTATCGTATTTGTTTGAACACTTGTTTTTCTGCATTTTTTAAACATGCTTTTTACCACATCAAGAACAAAAAGAATGTTAATTAACATTTATTCCAATCGTTCGAGATCGATAAAATTCGTTTTAATATTCTATCTGTCTAATTCATGTATAAAATAAATCCGCATTTGTGAAATATTAATTTTAGTCTTTTCGTTACAGAAAATGGTGGCACTTTGAAGATTCTTTTGAGTTTTGCTGTGGGCGCATTGTTAGGCGATGTTTTCCTACATCTTCTGCCGGAAGCATTCGAAAGTGAATTTCAAACGAGAGGTAATTTAATTTATTTTTTGTATTTTTTCTTGTGCGCAACAATACAGGGTGTTCTATTTTAAATAATGCATTAAGATTTCTCGAAAACTATGGTAGATATGGAAAAATATTTCAAACAAAAGTTGTATGGTTCGGAAGGGAACATAAGAAAAGGTACCATTGACTCGATTTTGAATGGTGTCGTTAAATTCAGATCAAGGTTACATCGATTTTTTAAAAGGAACACTCTATTTATGATGCCAGAATTTAATAGCTGGTGTCAAGAGCTTTTCAAAACACTATAATAAAGTTATTTTTTATTAAGTATTTTTCGAGTTATAAGGCTTGAAAGTTACAGTACCGCTGGCATTACGCAAGGTGTTCGATCGACGTCTAAAACCTCTTGAATGTTGTTCAGGATCATGTTGTCATCATTGTCCTGAATAACATGTGTCAAGATGAAAGTCATTGGAGGTTATACCTGTTATTTTCATTTTTACGTAAAAATGAATTTTTAGTGCAAAAATGAACTTATAACTCGAAAAGTACTTAATGAAAAATAACTTTATTATAGTGTTTTAAAAAGCTTTTGACACCAGCTATTAAATTCTGGTATCATAAATAGGGTGTTCCGTTTAAAAAAATCGATGTGACCTTGACCTTACTTTAACGACGCCATCCAAGGTCAAATCAATGGTATCTTTATATATGTCCCCTCCCGAATTATACAACTTTTGTGTTTGAAACATTTTTCTACGATAGTTTTCGAGAAATCTTAATGCATTATTTAAAATAAAGCCTGTATAATTAAATATAAAAAAACACCTTGTATAATTAAATGTATCTCTATCTTATCTTATATATTTATTAACGTATCATAAAAGATATTATAATACAGCATATCACACCTATTATTGATAAGATTGACCTTATCGTAAAAAAATATAAAAAAAGACGATCACAACGCGCGAATGAATAGTTTCATGAAAAATTGTTTCATGGAAAATAATAAGTAGAAGTAAAAAAAAACAAATCTATTACGTAAAAAATTTACACTCATTCGTGCATAATAAACGAACAAATGAAACGGAATGTATACGTCATGCAAAAACTAACATTAGGAGAAAACATTACCAAAAAAAGCGAATAGTTTAAATCGTTTACATTAATGAACCTTTACCCTGATATTTTTGTCATCGCGAAATCTGCTCAGCGCGAATATGGAACATGAATATCTGATATTCCTGGATTGTTCTATGTAATATCGCACGCGTATTACATATGTACTCTGAGCTGAATGCGTTTTGCAACATTCTACACGTTAGCACAGTACAGCTGCGATCTCGAAGGGCATCACCGAGAGCTTTATGAATGATTTAAGCGGCGGCTTCGAACTCTATTGTGCGTCAGTTGCAGATCTGAATTGCCAACTGCGTCCACGTAAATTAAATGTCCTTCCGACCAAACCGCGTTAGGAATTCGAGGTGATCAGTGGACTGGTAATATCCGTGTAAATTGCTCAATTTGAATTGCAAATTTCCTAACTTTCATTTTATATTTCTCATGCCTTTGTTGCCAGTAGAAAAGAATACCGTGATAAGTTCCATAATTTAAATGATTACTAAAGATTCATTAAGAAAACAGTATAATTATGTATGAATAGAGTTTATTTATTAATATTACGAATGCAATGAAAATTAAATAAATAATGCATTTTCATATGAACTGATTATAAATCGTAAGATTTGACTTATTTTCGAATTCTTTTTATTTGTATCCAACTTATCCATTTTACGTATTTTTGCAGCTAAAGATAATCACGCATCTACACCTGCAGGCTTGTGGGTATTGTCCGCCTTTCTGTTCTTCGTAATCGTTGAAAAACTCATCGTCACTATAAACGAGGAAGCCCCGATCATTGTAGAGCAGCAGACTGATGAAACTCTGATCAAGGATATAAATAAAGAAAAAGAAATGGATAATAATAATTGTATCATGATGACGAGCACTGAGAAAAATAGTTTATTAAAAAAATGCTTGAAAAGTACAACCGAGGTAATATAATTAAAAAGGCTCTATTATAATTTATAATATTTAAAATTAGTATGTGTGAGGAGCAGACTTTCAAAATGCGTTTTGTCCAAAATTTATAATTTTTAGAAAACTAGAAAGAAAGTAATAAGAAAGTTGTAGTTATAATGTAAATAAGCAATCTACTTCTATATGGTACATCAAACAAAGAAGCAGTCCGTTGCTATTTTTATATTTTTGTTATAACTTTTCAATAAAACATTTATGAAACTATGTTTATATAACATGTTTTCTTGTTTTTACTTGAAGTATAGCTGGTAAAGTTTGGCTAAAAAAACTAGGACACTGTATATATATTATATAATTGTCTAATAACCGAATGTATTCTGTGATAGGTACAATTCCTGGAGAAACAATCCAGTAAGATGGAGTTTGCTCAAATGCTGAACGGTATCAAAGATCTACGAAAGAATGGTTTTAAAGATGCTGACATTATGAAATCTGCATTAGCAAGCGAATGTCCTAATGACGGTCCACTGGTTGACGAGGCGAAGAATTGCTTGAAGAAACTCGCGAAGACTAATGGCTTTACATCAACGATTTCACGTGTTGACTCTCCATGCGTACGCTCACCAAGCAATATTGTTAATCGTTTAATCGCATGGGCAAAGAAATTTACCTTCGACTTTTTTCGTAAATTTTTCGATCCCAAAGCCTTTCCCGGATATCTAAATCTTTTGATGAACTTCCTCGACAATTTTACTCACGGTTTATCTGTGGGTGGATCGTTCCTAATTTCCTTCCGTGTAGGTGTCCTCAGTACGTTCACTATTTTGGTACATGAAATACCTCATGAGGTTGGCGATTTTGCTATTCTATTACGAAGTGGATTTAGCAAATGGGATGCTGCGCGGGCGCAGTTAATTACGGCTGGCGGTGGGATCGTTGGTGCTTTGGCAGCCGTCTCCTTTTCTGGTAGTTTAGGTAAATAATATCTTTAAAAATTTGTGAAGTGTGTAAGATAGTATATAAAAACTTGATAAAAATAATGCAAGATAAATTAATCTAATAATAATATAGTTGCACCTTTTATTAACTGAACGATAAAAATTTTGATATTAACATTATATTTTATTAATTTTATTTATTTCATTATATCAAGTAATTTTTTAAATAATATTTTTATACTATAGATATAATCTTACTAATAGTATCTATTATCTATTACGTGAAATTTATTTTGAGTAGAATTTATAAATTTATATCTGTTTTTTTTCCAGAGGAAAGAACCAATTGGATATTACCATTGACCGCAGGAGGATTCATACATATTGGTTTAGTAACCATCCTGCCCGATTTGTTAAAAGAAACGAATACAAAAGAGTCTTTAAAACAATTTGGCGCTTTACTTTTGGGAGTTATTATCATGGCTGCACTGATCTTTATTTAGATCAAATATATTTCATTAAAGAATTACAGCGAATTCAATTACCGCAGTGCATATTAAAGCCGTTATACACTAATCTAATTTGAGTCTAATGAAGCTTTCGCGATTTAACTCGTTTCTACATTTATATTAAATATACATCTTTATGTTAATTTGTTTATTACGACGACTTTATATGCATTAGTGCGCACAATCGAATTCGCTATTAGTTATGCAGAGAAATTCTATTATGTTGATGTAAATTTCAGTTATGTCATGCTATCGCTGAGTTGATAGAAAAATGACACATCTCAAAATTAGCAACTTTTCACACAGTAGAATATTTTTACAGTTCTGAATTGGAATAACACTTTAATTAGAATAGTGAATATGCAGTTTCTATAACTTCGCTTTCTTTCCATATTATACTTTCAATTATAATATGATCTTTAAAATTATATCATGAGTTTTCAAAATTTGAAGCTTGTACTGTACTGAAACTTTGTTTGATTGTACTATAACCCTAGTACAATCCCCTGTAATATATATATTTTATCCCGCTATATAACACTTTTCATATAAACAAGTGAACTACAAATGTGTCATATTTTTCACAAAAATATATTGGTTTTCAGGGTCACTTTTCTCTCATCTAAAAAATTCTAATTTTTTACTTTTGTATCACTTTTCTATCATCACAACGACATGTATCAATACAATATTCTGAAGTTGCCATAAAGTTATATAACACTTTTTCTCTCTATATTATTTAATGAAAGAAGGCATGTGCACGTACTGGGAATGCCTTAACATATGAAGTTGCACGCTTATCAGAGAACGTATGAGAAGAAGTGAGAAGACATGAAAAAACATGAAAAGGCACGTTAAGACATTCCTGTCCCCATCTGTACACACAGTGCAGTGTGTGCAAATATCTTAACGCTTTTAACATGCCTTTTTATGTCTTCTCATTTTTTCTCATGCCTTCTTCTCCGATACTCTCGCGCAACTTCGCGTGTCAAGGCATTTGTGACGCCATATGTACAAGAGTGCTTATGTCTTATTTTGATCATCATGATTATTTTGAATTTTGAGTACATAAAAATAATTTTTATTTAAATCATACATAAGAGTCTATTGTCGCTGTTCCTCCTTCCTTGATAATCCGATTTCCATTTCAAATTAAGCAACAAGAGCTAACAAATTTTGTAGTAAGAATATTTTTCAATACTGATGAAATATTAGTCTGAGATTTTTGCATTATTTCAGTGAATACTATAGAGAAAGAAAGGGAAGGAAAGGGGTGAATAAGTGAGTAAATGGGTGAGAGAGAGAGAGAGAGAGAGAGAGAGAGAGAGAACGAGAGAGAAAGAGAAAAAGAACGAAAACAAACCAAAAACAAAGAATTTGTATATTATTTTGTCAAAATTAAATTACTTGTCGCGTTATGACAAAATAACGTGAAAAATACTGTTATATACCTCATATAATTTATATTATAGACACATAAATATAGAAGTTTTTCATAGCTAAGATAATATTAATATTATTTTCCAGTTTGTATACTAATAATTTTTTCTAATAATAAAACAATTGAATACCAGTTAAAAAAATAATTTAATTTGAAGTATTGTGTGATAATTTTTCATAATAACGACTGAGATATGAATATATATATATTATAGGTTTATGCACATATTTTGAATTTTTTTATATTTCCTTCGTGCTGTGAATATTTGTTTCAAAATATAAAGCTTATTTTTCATAAACAATTAATAGCAAGTATAAAGTTAATTATAAACCGAAGCTATTTCCATATTATCCAAATTTTTAATTCTTTAATTTAAATAAAATTGAAATTGTATTTCAAATTTATAATTTGAAAAAATTAAAAAATTTAAGTAACATAAAAAGTTGCATACAAATTTTGTGAAATCTAAGTTATTCAGTATGTGTCAAAATACTGGATTTATATATATATATATATATATCTGTATACATAAAATTTTTAATTGATTTTGTCTTACTAGTAGAAAGAATGCTGGATAATATCAGTATTGCTTTACGATAAAACTCATATATTTATGTGTCTGTCATAAATTATATACAAATGCACAACAGAAATTCATATTATAGTTATTTTGTCATTAGTAATGTGATAACAATTACATGTATGTATGTACATACATGAGGCTATGAAGAAAAAATTACGATAGTTAAATAAGTTCCTTTCTATTCATTGTAATTTAATTATAATAAAATAATATACAAACTCTTTCCTTTTTCTCTTGCTCTCAAATTTGATAAATTTCGAGTTTAGATGTAGCGAACTTTCTAACCATATTTAATAAAACTTATAAAATCGCGCGTAGAGAGACGTGAGATTTTGACTAAAATCTAAATAAGTAAACTAGACAAAATGAAATTAATTATGTTCCTTTCATCTATGCCTTTACTAATTAGTATTAAATATTCACAATGTATTCTTATATTTTGTTACAAATATTCACGGCAGAAAGGAAGCTGCAAGAAAAATTCAAAGTATGCATAAACCTCTAATATATTTGCATCTTGATCGATATTAAGAAAAATTGTACGGTGATAATATATATTTTCATTAAAGTATATCAAATAGTTATATATTGCGTCAAGTATTTGATATATCCATAAAAGATACTACATTGCGTATCTTTTTCAGATCGAGCTTCGTATTTCGTTAGATATTTAGACATATATAATTCAGATATAAAATTTAAATAAATATATCTACAGGAATATAAACTTTGTTAAATTTTCAATTTGTAAAGACGAGCGGAACTTTCAGAAGGAATTTAGCTATTGTAATTTTCTCTTAGTAGCCTCTTGTATCATGCATAATGTTCATACTTTATGAGTCACAAAAAATAACGCAACCCTTGTACTTAACAGGTAAAAAACAAGGTATTATTTCATTCACACAGAATGCATGATACAGGAGTGCTCTTTCTTGCACCTGTAAATAGAAACCCTAGTTGGGGAACTGGTTAAAATTAACATCTTTTACAAAAATATTTTCTATGTATCATACAGTTATATATAAATGAAACTGTTCATATCTATGTAATCTCTAATATGATTTGTAAATAAAATATACTATTCTGCGATTGTTCATATTTTTTATACTTCTTTCATATTAAATATATATGCTACAGGAACTTTCAGATAATAACATGTGGCATATAATCGGTACAAAATAATTTATTAAGTAATTATTTCTAAAACAAAAAATATAACAGTTATTCATACTTGCTATGTGATAGCCAGATATATAACTAAAGTCTTATACATATTTTATGTACACATATATATCAGTCATTTTACTTTTCAAATGATATTTTTCAATTATTCCTCACATAATTATGAGGTATATATGAAATATTAATTGAGCTGATTAAATCAAATATCAAAAAGTTCCCGTCTCTTGAGGGAAAAGACATATAGACGTTTAATTGTTTGATAGGCCAATAGAGAGGAAAAACTCTTACAACAATAGAGAGGGAAAATCGCTATAAGTATAACTAACTACTATGCCATTTAAATAATGAATTAAAGTTTAACTGACATTTAATGACTAGTATTTCATACTTTGGATGCAAGAGACGAGAACCGCATTTCACTGATCAATCCTGTAAGTATGACAATCTATTTACAGTAGGAATAGAATAAACACGTTTAGAATAACAAAATATTTTTTTATACTTAGATTTTCCTTAAGATCTGGAAATTGTAGCTAATCATTTTCATCCGCAGATAATATTCACTTTTTCAAGATTTTAATTCACTATTTGAATAATTACTACGACAATTTTAATTTTCTTCTCTTGACAAAACTTTTTACACTGACAAATGCATATTAAGTAAGCCCTATGCTATTGCACATGATTGCATATCTATTAACATAAGACTGGAATTTAATTTATAGTCTTTGATATACTTTCGTATATTTTTAGTTACCTTAGATATTAACTCATATTCATAGTTCATCATGAGGTGCTTCAAAAATAGTTTCTTTTAATCTTTCAATCAGTAATATTAAACTCTTTAAAACGTCTGTTTCATCCACAGTGAGTTTAATATTAGGATTTTGATAAAAGTGTAAGAGATTATTTATAACAGGTAAAAGCAAAAATTCAGTATTCTTAAATTCAGTTTTACAAATAGGAGATATCGTGATCATGCTATCTGAGACTACTTCGAGAAAATCGTTATTTTCTATGCTAAATTGGCCAGTTAACTTTTCTTTGAAGCATTTGACCATTAAGTTGCTTAGAAGTTTACAGTAATCGTGCCTTAGTAATTTTAGCTCAAAATCTGTAATAGCGTACTCCCTCATTCTCTGTTGACGCTGTTCGGCATCATGGATTTCTTCTAGGTTTCGTCTTTCGATTGTTAGATCGTTAATTAGTTTCATTGCTTTCATTTGTATATGTAATTGATCGTCGTATAGAATCTTGCCTAGTAACTGCAAACCGCCATGATCAATCCAAGCTTTCTGAGCAGCAGGAAACTGGCGTATTAAGGCACTTAGAGCAAAGAGACATCTGGATTTTATTTCAATTTTATTATTTGTAGACAAGACGTGCAACACTTTTTGAATAAAATCATTTTCTAATGCCTTAGCTTGCACTTTTGGATTTGATTGGGCGGCTGCTCCTAGAAGGCGTAATGCTTCCGATTTTATTTCATTATTAGTTCCATTAAGACATGGTGATATGATCTTAGTCAGCCTACAATAAAAAAAAGTTGATTAAAATTGTATTGGTAAATTGTTGTCTCCAAGAAAAATTATACTCATTTATATTTACCCATCCATGTCTGAGAATATTTTAGCATTGTCTATTTGATGAAGAAGGTACTCTAAATTATTTAAAATGTCCAATACTTCTTCAATCTCTATATTAGTTAACGTTCCTGTAGTGATACTACTTTTATAAGATTGAAATTTCTGGAAAAACCGTTTTAATAATTCTGAATCGTTTGTAACATTAACTTTAAGAGCATTAAGTTCCTCTTTCAAAGTTTCATAAAAACGTTTGAAACGTTTCTCAGTTTTTGGTCGAGTTTTTCCATCCTAGAATGAAAAAGAAAAGAAAAATATATAATAGATATTAAATTTTTACTTGTTAATTCTAAATTTGTAATAAAAAATAATTTACATCTAGGTAAATAATTATTAATATAATTTAGATCTACATATAATCAAGATGATGCAATATTACTCATTCCATATTAAAATATGGAATGAGCAAAACCTTAAACATAATTGCAATTGTCAGATGCAACAACATATGTTGATCCATTTATTAATAATTACAAATTTCTAATTCTTAATTCTTCATCTGTAATCATATTTTTACTTTCTCCGTCTATTAATTTGGATCTAGTCCAAGTTTTTTTATTCTAGGCTTTAAAAAAAATTCAGGGTTATTTTTCAACATCTCTGTTACATTACTAAATAGTTTTTACACTACTAAATAGTGAAATGTTAAAAACATTTATCTAACAAAACTTGAAATTTAAGCAAAAATAGCATAAAATTTTGAGGATAAAATTTAAAAGTAAATTTTATTTATGCTAAAACACCCAAATTGTAGGCGGAGAATTAACTATTTAAAATAAAAGAAATAGTTACATTCATTTTTGATACTATTGCTGCTTCATCTTGCTTAAGCTTTTTCAATCTCGCTTTTAATTCGTCAATAGGAAATTTCAAAGAATTCAAAGACTCTGAAACTTTTTTCATTTTCACAGGATCTGGCTCTTCGTTTTCTAGAACCGACTTATCCGGATGTAGTGTCAACGACTTGGAATTGGATCGATTTGTATTTTCATCGTCTTCTTCTGTGTCATCCATCAATTTAGCCTCTGTTACTCCAGTTGCAAAATTATGTCTCACATGAAGTCCCTTGGGAATAGGAGTTCCTGATAAAAATTAGGTTTTATTAATCTTACTAGAGATTAGATCTTTATTAATTTTACTATTAGATCTTTATTAATACTTATTATCAGTACAGAATTTTAGAATATTTATAATTTAATCAAAAATTTTAAATCTACAATTCTTGTATTAAGATGCGTTTATGTGACAAAATTAGTTTTATTCATATAGTTTAGCTTCATACATATTTTATTAAAAAAACACAAGCTATATATACTTTCATGATTATTGATTATTCAAAAATTCTTATTTGGAGCTTTCTTGAATATTTATATAGAGCAAATCCTAATATTTTCATATTCATTTCAAAAGTTTCAATAAAATTTTAATATTTGTTAAAAAGAGAATCATTGTAATACGCAATTCCGAACGATTTTAATTTCTTAAAAATGTGCCTTCTTGGACCACGTAATCCAATCCGAACGTACGTCACTGGAGGCACTCGATTCGGACAGGACGACTACAGAATTCTCTCTCTCTCTCTCCCTCTCTCTCTCTCTCTCTCTCTCTCTCTCTCTCTCTCTCTCTCGCGATTCCTTATTTAAAACAACACGAAGTAATCTCCGAAAATCCCGCATTACGCAAGACTGCGTTCTGTCTTCTTTAGGAATATCGGAAGGATTGGATCGTCGCATTTTCGCCGCGGAAGGGTCGCACGTACGGCGGATTTGACTGACGTGGTGTCAAACGAGCGACGGATCTTGATCGGCGTAAAGTAGTCCCACGATCACGGACACGACCTTGACGAGACACTCACCCTTTTTCACCGTCTGCCATTCGTGCGTTGCCACAAAAGCGCTCTCGTTTTTTTCAGCGCCGACGAAAATCGCAAACGGCAGGTATAACAGCAGGATGCACGTGTCCGCACGCATTCTGACAAAGACAACACGACGTCGTCGTCACCGGAGTAGAGGACCGTGTACGGCTGCGATTATTCACAGGCGAACCGTTTACGCGCAAATCTCAGGATCGTCCGTCATCAGCTGGCGCAAAAGCGACGTGAGATCGTCAGCGTGATGCTCGGCATGACATTTATCGCGGAACTCGCAAACAACTCGTTCACGTGTTGCGTCCGCTATTTATTGCGTCTGTGTGTCGACCTGTCGACCAATGCGCCGACGGTAGTTACACGCGGTCGCCACCAGAGCTGACCGCCAGCCAATGATGGGACGCGACGTTGCCGCATCCGTCGCATTCGAATCTCCTCGTGCATTCCGAAAAACCGAGTAGTATTTTATTGTAAAAAATAAGGTTAATTTTTTTTCATCGCTACACTGGACTGCACTAAAACTTTCCTTCTCCTTTTATCAAGTATCACAAACATATATAGATACTTATTTCAACATATACATTTTTTATAAACTATATTTGAATAAAACTATGTTTTGTCACATTATATTTGATATTTTATTTAAAGCAGAGGTGGTAAAGATTAACGTTTTTTTTTTTTAAGAATAAAACATACTGTGTCTCTTCTTAAATATATTTTTAATGCTTCAAATATGCTTTAAACAGTATTATAAAAAAACCATTTAAAACATATTAAAAGTATCAATTTATAAAACGCGTTTAAAACATGCTAAATACTTTTGGACAAAGAAACGATTGAATTGTCCAAATATTCTTTCGAAAAGCAAATTATTAGGTCGTATTCTCGAAAAATATCGCATAATATATATATAATAGTTAAATCTGTAATAATATATGTAACGTATACTATATTATTTTTGCACATTTACGATATTTGTCGAGAATATGGCCTCAAGGTAGTAATTCCTTTTTTCACGCTTCATTTTAGGAAAAAGTTTACACGATCGCTATTTCGATAAACTTGAGCTCACTCTCTCATTCTCTTTGTTCTTATTCTTTTATTCTTGTATTTATCTATTAATTAGATAAATTATCACATAGTTTATTCGAAGATGGACCTTAAGAATCGTATTGTTGAAAATATCGCACAGGACAATGTACAAAAATACCATAGTATATAATAGATTCTTCTAGTATTTTCGTATGCGATACTTATCAAAAGTAAGGGCCCTGGCACACAAAAAACTTAAGACAGTAAGACGTAAAGGCAGTAAGGAAATCAACATGCTGGATTCGCTACTGTTTATGGCCTTATGGACTCTACTGTGTTTGGTCAATTCGCTTACTGCTTACATTTTACTGCTTAAGTTTAATTTTTTTGTGTGCCATGGCCCTAAGGCTTCAAACTCTGAAAGAATTGGGAAACATTCCGGAATTGGGAGTAAGACGCCCGGCCGTTTGGCGGCGACGCGCGTGTAGTACCGGCCGCCGGTGGCAACTGTAACGGCAAGGGCAACAGCAACGCCGCGCAGCGCCACGACCGACCAATCAGCGCGCGGAACGTAGTCTGGGCGCGCAAGGCCAGCTAGGCGAAACTCATTTTACTACGCGCTCGTACGACGACCGGCACGTGCGGCGGCGACCGTTCCCTACTTCCCTCGCGCAGTAACACAGTAACCGTTGCGCGCGCGGCGTTTCGCTCTCACGTTCTACTCCATCACCGCGCACGACACGCACACGTCCACTGCACCGTCCTCACGGGCACGTTCACGCGTCACGAGAATCCGTTAATAGCAGACCGATCGCCATGGCAGAGGAATATTTATACGGTAAGTATGAACGGCCACGGTGCTACGGTCGCCGTGGCTCTGCTATTTCGTGGCCCACGCGGATACTTACGTACCGTCGGCCATTTAAGCGCGAAGGGGATGCACTGGCCGGAGACGCCGGCTGGGCTTTCGGCCATTGCGATACGGCAGACTCCCGTTGCCAATCTCCGGAGCCGGCGTGCACGGTATCGTGCATCACGGCGACGGCACGCGCTCGCTCACCGGCCGGCGCCGCTCTCTCGCCACGAATACGACTTGGTGTCTTCTATGTTCAGGAATCACCCTGGAGGGACCGAACGCGAGCGAGGTATGGGACCCGGAGCACAAGAACGACGACTCGGACGGCGCGGCCCAAGACATCGGCGCCGATCAGAAGCTCATTATAAAAATGGTGAGTGTGCCACGTTCCGGTAACCGACAGGATGACAACAGGGACGTCGCCGTCGTTCCGTGCCCAGCGGGCTTTTCCCCACCTGCGGTTCTTCCGCTGTATCGAATGGAGCCGCCACGCTATCGTAACGTTGTCGTCTCCGTGAAGCATCTTTCGGGCGCCTTCTTTCCTTTATTCGTGGTGGGGCGTGCGGTTTCTACCGCACTCGTCGGCTACCGCTTCTATCCACTTCTACCACCATGCCGTGTGTTTCCGCATGCCGCATTCTCAATCGTTCAGTTAGCATCATTTGGGAACCCCTCGAATTTTTTTTCTTTGTTGTAGCTCTCCTCGTCGCCGTCGTCAATTAACGTTTCGCGCGCGAAACTTCAATCGCCAATTCCGAGTGATCTCGTTCAATCGAGAGAGATAACCTGGGTGACAGTCGGCCACGTTGCCCCGTTTTTTTGCTTCTCCTTAGGATCGCGACGTTCCTCTATGACTAAATCGTTCAACGATTGCCACGAGTCCCTCGAAGCGGATCAGAAGGCATCTTTTTACAAAGTCGCGCTTGTGGCGTTGTGACGATGATTGATCAGTCTTCCCGTTATAATTGCCAACTCGTCTTTGACGAATACCGGGAAAGTTTGATGCTTGGCGCCATTTTTTCACAACGGCTTCGCCCTTCCCCCCACTTTGTATTAGATAAGACAGGGCTCTATTATGTGTCGCGGGATAAAGACTTTAACGGAAATTTCGTTTGCGGCTAAGCTCGATTTGATTCGATTGAACGAGGTATCGAAATTTTTTTCGTGGATCACAATGTGCGAATTAAATTAACACAACTTCATAGTGTGCCTGTTATCGAAATATTGCGGCACACAAAGTTAATATAACAAAATAGATATTAATAAACATGCTCATCGCGAATAGTTTTATAAGAATTATAAATATATCGTTTTATCGTAGCATTATTTTTTAACTTTTATAAGGAAAAATATAATTTTTTATACATTTTTATATATTACATTACCTAATCATTTCCTGTTATGTGTGCGCTTTGTACTTCTCATTAAACTTGAAAGCATTTTTTATCTCTTTTCTGTTTATTCTTTTTTTTTTATACAAATATTTGTGCATAATTGTTTTTTAAGAGACAAGTTACTTTCTAACCTAAAAAGATAGAAATTGATCAAACTTTCTAAACATGACAAAAATATCTGAGATAAAATGCATTTAATAAATAGTATAATTACAAGGAATTTAAATATATAAAAACAATAAAAGGGCATGAACCACATTCGCATAATTTAAGTGGTGGATAATTTTATATTTTAATTATATATATATATATATATATAGTTTGAATTTTGTATGAAATCTTAAATATTTGTAAGAATTAATAATCAAAATAATTTTTAATATCCAATATTATATATAATTATTTATTCTACATTTATGTAAATAATTTTTTAGGCTCTTCTGGGACCGGAGGCTAAACCTGGAGAGCTTAACGTCTTGCAGGTTGAAGCAATGGGATTAAAAGGACCCATCAAAACTCCAATTGCCTTGTTGGAGATGGGAAAAACGGCGCAGATTATTCTTGATCTCAGTTTCCCAGATCCTCCAGTCACGTTCACGTTGGTTAAGGGCAGTGGACCGGTGCATATAGTAGGGCACAATCTTCTTGGTACGTATCTCTACATCAAAAACTAAGTAAATTTTACTTAGTAAATTTATAATTAACATTTAAAAAATTATGTTTGTTATGTTATCTCGGGATTAAGTTCATGTTTTGGATACTATATTCCTTTTACATACAGTGAGATATTTTTCTATTATTCTAGACAAATTCTTATTGTCACATATACAGGATGAGAATTGAACTCTAAACTTTTGCTTGACAAGCGACTATTCTAATACCGAGCTATATTCAATATCCCTGTTTTATTTCAGGTTATTATATATTGTATGTGCTACTAATATTGTATATAACTCAATCTAAAATATTATGTACATGACATATACATTTTTTAATGAACTCATCTTAAAAATACACATTACTAAACTTTAACAACTATTTCCTAAATTATTAATGAAAAGTTGATATTTTTTATTTTGTAATATTTATAAAAGTTTATCAAGGTATGTCAAGTAAAGGCGATAAGGTTAAAATCAAATGTCTTCTTAAAAAACATAAAGAAAAATAATTTTAATAAAAATAGATTTTGTTCTATGTTAAACATACATATATTACATGTTTATTATGTATTTTTTATCTGCTTTGCTTTTGAATATGTATATGTGATACATGCTAGTCCATCTTGAATTATACATACAAACATTTTGAAATAAATTTTATACATTATATATGAGCCCCTTAGTTGATAAGTGACATAAGTCCAAAATTAGGAAGAATGCGTTTGTTATAGAGGTAGAAAGTATTAAGAATGTTTGTTTTATCTATCAATTTAATTTACTTTTATTTTGTTTTTATGTTCATAAAAAATAAAAATCAATTTTACATCATAAATAAAGTGACTGTAAAAATAGCTGGACTTAAGTCACTATTCCAGATATTTTTACGCTCACTTTATTTATGATGTAAAATTGATTTTTATTTTTTATGAACATAAAAACAAAATAAAAGTAAATTAAATTGATAGATAAAACAAACATTCTTAATACTTTCTACTTCTATAACAAATACATTTTTCCTAATTTTGGACTTATGCCACTTGTTAACTAAGGGGCTCATATATATATATATCTATGTATATATGAAAATATATGTTTAATTATAAAGTAATACTTAAGTTTATTAAATACATTACACGATTTTACTCTTTAAGAATTATAAAATAACTTTCATATATTATGAGAAATATTGCTAAAAAATAGACAACTTGCAACAAATACTACATAATAAAGTATTTATTATTTTATTTTATTTTAATTCATTATTTATTTACAACTAACATAGCATTGTCTTATACACGATATTTTATAACATAAAATTATACAAACAGTTATTTTTTCTCTTATTAAAAATTAAGCAGTACTTAAATTCTTTTCTTATCATAGGTGGCCACATTGAAGAATTTGTGGATATGGATGATGAAGTGGAGGAAGACCTTGATGATGAGGATGATGAGAAGGTATGAATTATTACATGTATATTTTCAACTATATATATAGGTATATATAGTGGAAAATATATATTCTATTTATATATATCTAGCAAATTTTATTATAATAAATTTAGTAAATTTTTGCTATAAATCTATGAGTGAGGATAAAAGAGGATAATACTGTGTATTTAATTTATTAATATTGATTTATGCACGTAGAATGCTTCTCTATAGTAATAATAGTAGTAGTAGTATAGTAATAGTAGTAATAGTAATAGAGGAAATGGGTGGCAAAATCATATCAGTCCCTCTGAATGTTTGAACCTATTCAAAAGGAGGTAATCATAATCTGTTCTTATTTCAAGACCATCTTAAGTAATGTCTTAAGATGCAAATACGACTCTCTAATTGATTGATTCATGATATCTTAAGACTGTACTTAAGGGGATCCTAAAGCGAAGCCCGAACTCCGACGAAGTCACCAGAGGTCGTTGTTTTTTCAGCGCATCAACATATCTTTATATACTAATCACACTAATATCTCACGCAACCTATGATACACGCAGTCACACGTTCGTATCAATTCTCGTATAACAAATTCGTCGCGATAAAGCGTCTAAGTCTAATTCTAAGAACTCGACATTTGTTCGTGCAAACTATGTGTCTGTGGATTACTATTTTATAAGTACAGGTTGCAAAACTTTCGTGCAAAAGTTGTCGACTTGATAGCTTGAGACATCATGTTACGCTAAGAAATGGTAAAAAATTTATCAATTCCGAAATTTTTTGTCGTTCTCTGTATAAATTCCACCTCACAAATACGTATTAATATGTACATTTTAATCCTGGAAAAAGATTTTCGAATCTGTGAAAGAAAAAAAAGTATTTGTTATACAAAAATTATATGATTTAGTCGGTAATGCAGACGACTTTAGGATCCCCTTAAGCAGTCTTAAATATAAGAATCGACTATGAATACCGGCTTCTGATTGATTCATGGCATCTGAAGACCTTAAGACAATCTTAAATATAAGAATCGATTATAAATATGGACCAAAGAGTTATATAGATCTGAAAATTTCTTCTGCGACTTCCGTTACGTCAGTACGGATTATGAATTTTTCCGTATATACGAGATGCGGGATTTGAACTCGCGACCTGTCGATTATGAGTTGCACTCACACGAAGATACGTGACTTCCCTTATGCTTCTTTATAAAAGTATGATAAATTTTTGAAAGCAGAATATGTTATGACGTAGCTTATAAGTTTGTATACATATATAAATAATTTACTATAGGAGAATTTGTATCATCATGATAATATCTTTAGTTTATCTTTACTTTCTATGTTGCTGTAGAACAAATGAAATTATATTTAATAAATATCCATTTCAGGCACCGCGAAAGAAACGAAAACTTTTATCAGGAGATAAAAAAAACGGCGTTGAATGAGTACGGTCGTGAACGTAGACAAATAGAATATTAAGATAAAAATCGACATTGCGCCATAGTATGTCTAAAAAATATCAATATTGCATTAAGAACATTTTTTATTTTACTTCAAACTTTATTTTTTAAAATATCCTTGAGGAATTATAATATTTTTAAGGACAGGAAAAGATGGACGTGAACTTATAAAAAATCATAAATGTATCCCTTGTATTCTCATTCATGTTTCATGTTTTATTTTTGTAAAATAAATCTTATTTTGCAAAGAATTGCTTTTATTTCTTACTAATCACGCTTCCTTTTTTTCCATTTTTGCAAAGTAATGTATTACAATTTTTTAGTAGATTCTAAAAGATCAAATAATATTATTTGTAAATATTTATATCGATAAATGTAATTCGTATTTTTAAAAGTCAAAATTAGGCTAACATATTGTGATTTTGAAATTTTAATTTGATTATAAAACGTAATAAAATTTCATATATATTTTCTTAAAATTTTCTTTAAACGGATGTAAATAAATTTTATATATGTATATATATATATCCTCATTTACTTCCTTATGTAATATAATATACTATGTTTGATTATTATTATTAAATACGGAAGTATATTATCAATGGTTTTTTGCTTATAAAATAAATAAATTACATATGACTACATTTTATATTTTTTATAGGATCCTGAAGATGAAGACGATGAAGATGACGAACCTAAGAAGAAGAATGCTAAATTAGCAGCTGCAGCTAAATACAAAAATCAGGCTAACAAGAACAAGAAAAAATAAACATGAGCCTTAAGATTATGAAAATAAAACAAACTCTTAAGTTAAGATATACACATAAGTCCATCACTATCATCCGCATTTGTGCGAATCTAGTATCATTTCATCAGATTATCACACGACAAAGCGATTGCCTTCCACCTTTTTAAAACACAACTGGACCAACAAAGTAAGACAATTATATTACGTGTAATTTTGAAATAATTTCAGACGATTTTGTTAATTTGCTTATGAAAAAGTTTGCTTTACTTAAAAAATATTTTTGTGCTTTAACTAATCTTTTTATGCTTTTGTCCAAAGTGAAGTTTATTACAATATTACCTCAATTATATATAGACATTTGTTCATAACATACTTCTAGTATGTGTGCTCTTAAATATTTTTACAGGCTAATATATGTTTAGTAACTAGGATTTGTGACATTAAAGAAAAAAAAATGTTTGGCAAGATTTTTATAAATATAGTTTCTCTGTCTTCAAAAAGTGATATATGTATATTTTTATCGTATTGGAGATATAATTCAAAAGACAAAATTATATATTTCTCCTCTTGATAATAATACTTTGTCATTGATAGAAGGAAACAAATTTCTTAAGAACAATAAGAATCTTAAGAACAAATATTATGTTTTTTTCTTTTTTACTAGACGACTTATTGAAATCCATGTTAAATATATAGTTTTGGTATGATAAAATAATGTTGTATTAAATGATTTCTGGCCCAGTTGTCATTGTAAAATTTATGGAAAGCACGAATGGGGATCCACAATGAGATTTTGTATTTTTTGTTTTTCCGATATCGTGTTCATATCGACGCGACTCTTTTAGAGATGCGAAAATATATTCTATCTGTTTAAACACGATTTTTGGAAATAGTTCTCATGTAAAGAATTGCAAAACTAAAGCTCCAATATAATTTATTATTTTCGTGTGTACAAGATGGGGAGAGGATTATTAGTTAACTCAAAAATTTTACTTACGTCTAAAGATATCAATATTAAAAAAAGAACATATACACGTCATCTCAACATTCATTCCATTTGATGAAAGATAATAGAAATGGGAGTTACAGGTGTACTGGGTATATAAATGCTCTTACATCAGTGTCATGTGCTATTGAAGCATATGTGATGGCATGTATAAAAAAAACGTACGTGCGATTGATACGTAGTCTGTACACCTATTTTGTACATATACGATATACAATAAAAAATTTCACAACTTTTAAAATCCGTATTGCTTGGGTATATATTCATTTGAGAGTAACCTGCCATACTGTAACAGAATAATTTTTAATCTATGTGTATTTTTCATTAGATTTTTTTTTATTTCTGCGAAAAACTTCGTTTTATTGTTTGAAATAAGTGCATTTCAAATCCGTAAATATACGACATTTGTAATTATATTTGATACTTTTAACGTTTTTCACTTAAAGCGAGTTTTAATGCGATCAATCGCATTATGTACAAGTGCAACATATGGTGCGTTCGGGGAGGCGCTATTAGTGCTACTTCTATCTTCGTTGTTTATTAGACGTAAAATATTGCAATTGCGCATAATGCGATTGATCAATCGAATAAAAAAAAAGACTTTATTCAATGATTATGTATTTGACAAGTAACTTTTACATATAGGTTATTTATGTATAATATATAACATGTCAAGTTTCCTTTTACTTCGTCTCACACATGAAGAAAGAACATCATAATTCTTCAAACACTCTAAGAAATTTTAAATACAGGTTTATTGTATGTATATACATACGTGTAAAGGCAATTTCAGAAATTCAAATGTCGTAACTCTTGAAACTTGATTATTAAAGTTAAACACGAAGTATGCGATATGATCTAACCAATGAAATAATATAACAAATAGAAAATTATTGAATATATCTAAAGAGATTACGGAGAGAGATTGACTTTGGAGTTAGATATTGTGATATGCAGAATGTTAACTTAAGTAAATGTTCTACTAATGTAGAAAACAAAGTTTCCTATGGCAACGCAGAATCCGACATAATTGATCATGAAATAGTAACCTTATCGCAGGTATGTTATATTTCACTTGATTACTAATTATTATGAATTGTAAGTGAATATCAAATTTTTGTGTATAATATGAGATGTCCTGTACAAATGAATAATTGATTAAAAAATCATTTTGTATTTTAAATATTTATTATTGTTAAATTTCTTATAAATTGTTACTATTTATAATTTTGATATCAATATCTAATTTTTAATTATATTCAATAGGTAGCGAAATTGAATGAAGTTGTAGCAAATTTAAAAGATGCTATACAAATAAAAGATGTACAATTAGAAAATTCACATCTAGAAAAAAGTAGGTTACTGGCAGAACTAAAGAAACAACAAAGATGCAACAGGAATCTGAAACGTAAGATTTAATCATTACGTGTTATGATTTTTTTCAGAGAGTATACATATATTAAATTTGAAGGTATGACTACAATTTCTGATTGAATTATAATATAAATGGAATATTTTGCATACTATATAATGTTTTACATCTATCTAAATTTACTCATAAAATTAGAATTTTGTCAGCACAGCTTTACAGTTTTGTAGTTTGAACTAATTTAACAAATATGAATGAAACGATATACAGAGGTACGTTCAGGAATTGCACCCAGATATAACTCTAGGCTCTAGTTTACGTTATATATATTATGTTACTGTGCACATCAAAATTATCTAGGCATAATTCCTGAACGCACCCCATGAGGAGACGCTATTGGCGCTATTTGTGTCATTCTATCTTCATCTTTTATTAGACGTAAAACAAGGATAGAATGACACAATAGCGCTAATTGCATCTCCCCGAACGCGCACCTGCAGTGTTGAACCGTCAAACTTAGAATATGAGTTTAGGACTCCAAAATAAACAAAATTTTCCTATAGAAGTTCCTATAGTTATGTAACTTAAGAAGTCAATATCTCTTTTAAAAAAACAAAGCGTTTACCAACAAACCAGAGAAAAATTTTGGTTTTGAAGTCCTAAATTCATATTTTAAGTTTGGCGATTTAATCCAAGAACATCCGGTATATTAATTATTTTTATTGTAGAACAGTTAGATGGCGAGAGGATTTTCTATCAAAGAGAAAAAGATTATTTCGTTGAAGAAATGCAACGGTACAAAGGCAGATATACAGGCAATGTATCGAAGTTTCAGCAACAACGGCATAAAAAGCTCGAAGAAGTACAAGATTCCTTAGAACAAGAAAATAAACAGCTTAGATCAGAACTGTTAGATAAAAACAAAGTTACGTATAATCTATGTGTGAAGTTCCTTCGTATGAAACATGCTAAAGACACATTAAGATATAAATTGGACCAGTTGCTGCATGAGCATTTGCTAGTAATGGCGGAGATGATGGAGAAATTAGACGAAGCGAGAAAGGAACTTAATTTAATTGTGTCAGAGAAATTTCAAGAACCGTTACCTCTTAATAAAGCTAAATTTTTACAGGTAAATGACAATATATACGTCTCTTTCTTTTTTTTGTTGTCCAAATCTATGAAATTAGACTGTACATATTGTATGAATCGTTAGGTTGTACAAAGGAATAACAGATTAACATATGAAAATGCAACATTGAAAGTGCAGGTCCATCAACTTACGCAGAACATTGAGAAATTGAAAAGTCATATGCAAAGGCCGAAAAAGATTAATGTAGATGCTAAAATCATTGAGAAATTAGCAACGCAAAGCAGTACAAAGTACGTTGTACGTGGAGAAAAGAAACCATCGAATTTCCATTGTAGCATATATATATTTTCAATATTTTTAAATTTATCTAACATTATTGATAAAATATAATTGTTTACACTTTTAGATTTACTCTAAATAAAACAGAAAAAGTCGCTCTACTCTCTAAATTATCTCAACCTGCTGACCATACTGAAGATGCGGAGATGATCTCGCAGGTGAATTCTGAGAGTGCAGATGATTGTACTTAATGATGCGAAAGATGTTGGGATTTTAAAAGATTTCATGCAGAACGCGCTCGAAGTGTGTCAGGAATTGTAGAAACGTCCATTATTTCTCGAATGGAATAGATGATTCTTTGAAAGAAACAGTATGTGTATTTGTATTAATACTTTTTTCGTAAATCTTCATTAATTCGTTGAAGACACGCGTGAAAGTATTTTATGATATAATAAAATTGTCCCTTTTTCTCTTACTCATTAAAGATCGTCGATATAAAAAAATTCCTTTACATAGTCGATTCCTTTACAAAGGAAGACAAAGAAACAAGTCCTAATTTGAACATAAAATATTTAATGTATAACAGAAAGTAACCATGGGTGTCAATCAGCCAGGATTTCAATCGAGAAAAGGGGGGGGGAACAAAAATTTATCTTTAAACAAACTTAATATTAAAACTTATTAAAATATATATATTTTTTGAAGTTATCCTTCGAGGATCTTCAATGAACTTTCTTACAAACAACGTGTGAACTATATATTGGGTAGTGAGCGTTTAATTTTTCATCGTAAGAATGTTTAATAATGTATTCAGCATGAATATAACATTAGATTTAAATAATGTATATTTACATTATGTTATGTTATATATATTTAATATAAAAATATTTTAAAGTAGGTTTTTTTTAGTAAGCTTTAAAATGTTTTTCGAAAAAAAATGGCACTATTTTTCAAGGATTTTACAAAATATCATATTTTTTGTTGTGTAAAAACTTTCTTTAAAATTGACGGCGGAGAAAGTTTTAAAAAATTTTTTTTTAATTTATACGAATCAAGCACATTATGACAAATATTTTTCCTCTTTTGTCTTTTTCGTAAGCTTTTTAGTTTCGAAGTTAAAAAACATTTTAGAAAAAGTTTTTTTACACAATAAAATTTTATACAAAAAAAATTCGATATCTTTGTGAAAAATCATATCAAATTTGTTCAAAAAGCATTTTAAAGCTTAGAAATCCTATTTTAAAATACATTTATATTAAATTTGGTCCAATAATGTTCCATTAAATTGCAATGCTTTAAAGTAAGATAAAATATTGCAAAAAATATTAATTTTATAGCTGTAAGATTTATAGCTGTAAGATAAATATAATTTTTCTATCTATAAGCATATTCCAGCAATATTGCAGCGTTGCAGCAAACTTTTGTACGGTATATCATATATCACAGATAGCTTACAGTAGCGATATCAAACA